AAATAAAGAAGCCACAGTACGTTGAAAAGAACCGGAGGACAAAAAAATGAAGGTTTGCTAGGAGCTTTAATAGACCTGGTATTGCGTGACTCCTATAGTTGAGGGTTCCAAGTCGTCTTTTATATCCTGAAGCAAATTAAAAATAATATGTCTTGGCAAACGATATGTTCGGATAATGTGTTCTTCTGGCATTCAAAATAAATTAATACGTGTGGAAAAAAATCCTCTCCCTTCTCTCTGTTCTCTGCGGTGCCTTCTCCTAGCAACAATAATTGCAACCGTTTCAAGCGCAAAATAAGACATGCTTTTTTGGGGTGTTAAATAATGGTGCAAATGCCAGTAATTTGACGAGCGCAAACATTAGTAAAACGCGTTGCTTGATTCATTTGAACACTCTCCTACCATACATTTTGCATCTGAAAGGGAAACTCCTATAAATGCATATTCAATAAGGTCTGGCGCAAAATAACTATCTCCATGCCTTTTCAGCGCTAATTCGTCACTGCGCGTCTTTAGTCAAACCTGACAGTACTATTTTAATGCCAAAAGACGGTTTGCGCTGGTGCAAGCTGTTAGTAAAACTGGCCCTAAATGACATTTCAAAGTAAAATAAGTATTTACTAAAGGTTTTTAAAACTTTAAAGATCTTTTTTTTTGTCCTGGGTGGAAAAGTTAATAGTCCTAAAGAAAATTTGTAATGTCCTCTGACAACTCCAAGTGCATTTCAAATCCACTTTTTCCACTTTTTACTGCAAACTCAGTGACCCACCTGGTGGCATTTTCATTCCCATTTTCCCTGCACTTAAACCACTTAAACAGGAGGGCAAGATCACAGTGCAGTATGGGAAAGTAACCTCGATGGAGGAGCAAAACTGGGTTTCATAGCTGAGGGGCACATACACACACACAAAACACATATACACATTTTGTGTTTCTACCATGTTCTTCTTTTGTTCTTATACTGAAGTAATGATACTTTCTATCCTCTACATCTAAATCTTTACATTTTAGATCATCATGTAAGACATTTTTGGTAACACTAGGCTCAATAAGTTTATGTATAGTTAATGCATTAGGTATCATAAATTAACAATACTTTAATCTGGATTATTACATGGCTCCCTGGGATACTCGAATTCTGATTGGTTAGTTTTGGTATGTTATTCCTCGTCTCTATTTGCGTGATGCAAAGCTGTGTAATTAGTGATACGACTGTTTATTATGCGTTAAATGTCTGTCTTGTCTGAACTTTGTCTAGGCTCATAGCCATTTGTTAGGAACTGTTTTCATTTGCAGAAGTTTTGCATTGAATATTTCAACTCATATCAGTATTTCGAGTCTAATTATTTATTGATGTGGCAAGTAGCCATGTAACAAGCAGGATAAACCTCTTCAAGATGATGTAAGATCAGCCTGTCGGGGTTTATTCGGCAATAACAACCGACTGGATGTACATTTATCCCTTACTTAATAAACGCTGTAAATGTTTGATTTATACATTTACTACTGATAATACATTTTTAACATTTCAAGGGTCGGATTTACTGAACAGGGCAAATTAGCATTAGAGCGCAATTCCATAAAAGCACCGATGGGATGGGAAACTTCTGCGGGGGATTTACTGACAATGCGCACATTAAAGAACACAAACGCAGCCAGATCATTTCCATAATGACCAGCGCCATCTACCAAGAGCAGCGCAAATTACCGCCTGCTTTAAGACTTGCATTTTATGGCCGTTAAATAATGGCGCAAATACAGGTAATTTGATGAGCACAAATGTTAGTAAATCGCATTGCGCGATTCATTTTAATACTCTCCTACCATAAATTTTGCATCTGAAAGGGAAACTCCTATAAATGCATATTCAATAAGGTCTGGCGCAAAATAACTATCTCCATGCCTTTTCAGCGCTAATTCGTCACTGCGCGTCTTTAGTAAAACCTGACAGTACTATTTTAATGCCAAAAGACGGTTTGCGCTGGTGCAAGCTGTTAGTAAAACTGGCCCTAAATGACATTTCAAAGTAAAATAAGTATTTACTAAAGGTTTTTAAAACTTTAAAGATCTTTTTTTTGTCCTGGGTGGAAAAGTTAATAGTCCTAAAGAAAATTTGTAATGTCCTCTGACAACTCCAAGTGCATTTCAAATCCACTTTTTGAACCGTTTACTGCAAACTCAGTGACCCACCTGGTGGCATTTTCATTCCCATTTTCCCTGCACTTAAACAGCATGTTCCTGACA